CTCCCGTATGGAGTTGACAAAATGGAAAAATCTTTATTTTTATTTTAAGAAAAAAGTCATTATAAAAAAATTCTGTTTGACGACGAAAAAATAGGTTTACTATATTAATATGTTAGGTCAGGTGTATATGGTCTTAATAAATGAAGAAACTTAAAATTGACAGAAGGAAAAAATCTGTATTACCTTATTGATTTTACGAAGAAAAATCACAGTTTTCCTTTCGGTTTTCCTTCATAATTTTAAAAGAAAATTTTTCTTGTAATTTTCTTCAACAAGCAGAATTTTTTGTATGGAATAATTTTATTTTCTGAAAAAAAAATGAATATTAATCGTAATTGTGTTATTCCCAAATATTGAAATGCTTAACAAAAATTTAATTCTGATATTCATTTTGATAATTATTCTAGATATACGAATAACAAAGCTTTATAATCTTGATAAATCTAAAGTATTTTCATTACAAAAAGCAAGAAAATCTTAATTAGCCATTAAAGAAATTATAAGTAGTAAATTAGTAATGACTCACAATCAAAATCATGTGTTTTAAGCAGTGCTATTAAAAATGTAAAATTCTTATATTTTGTCGAAGTAAATTCAAAATCCCGCCAATTTTCAAGCTAAAATAGCATTACATCTTTCTATATTACCGACTGAGTATTAATTGCACAAAACTATTCCATATGTCGCTGAAGGTAAACATGCTGCCAAATTTCTGTGAGGAATCTGCAACTCTTAATTATCCTTCCTCCATGATGGTAACTGTGTAAACCCTACATCAGTCCAAATTCAAAGGACGTTCAAAAAATTGCAATGTTTAAATTTATTACATTCTGGAACTGAAAACTGCGAAACAGGTGGGGATGCTTTACTTGTAAGGCTACATGAAATTCGTAGGACTAGTAAGGATGAGCCATTTTCCAAAATCGCGTGTAATGGTGGCAATATTGTCGAAAATGTAAATATAAACAAGCATATTAATGAATTGCACGCACAAAATATTAATATTTTTTAAGAAAATTTTATTATATATGCGGATTTTTAATAAAAAAAATGTCTTAAAATTCAACGTTGCGATGTATGTACACAATATGGCTTAACACACGAAGAATTGGATATAAGCTCCATGTATTGTTATTATAAAGCATACAAAAAAAAGCAAATAAAGATATTTTTGGCAATTTAAAAATGTCAAATAATAGTTTTGTATGTTTAATAACAAAAATTGAAATAATTTTTCATCACAATTTTGAATTATTTATCACTAAATCCGGCGTTTGTAATTTTTTTTTATATTTAATTAATTCCGAGATAACATTTGACGCTCCTTGTCCCCGATTTCCATAAATATATGTTATTAAGGGTCGATTCCACCGTTGTGTTAAACGGAGATTAAAATGACATTGTTAATGTAAAAATGTAATTTTAAACTTCGTTTAACACATCGGTGGAATCGGTCCTAAGTTATATTTAAGGCTGCTCATATATTTCACTTTAAAAATATTAATAGAAATTTTAAGACCATCAATAAAAACAAGCTAATTATTTTACGCAATCTGTGAAGCTTTTTTGTTTTAATACGATCCTGCCTATCAGTACCTTATTTTATTACAAAATCTTTAAATACGCTTTAATCCGACCCTGACTAAGACCCCCAAGGTCAAATTTTCTTAGTATAATATTTGTATGCGATCAGCGGAGAGTGGGCCTGCCGATTGTTTTTTATGCCGTGCCGTGGCCGTGAGGCGTCTAGAGGATAGGTGCTTTGTGCCTTTTATCCCCTACTAATTTTAGACAATGGAATTTAGTTAAAAGTAGGAATCCACTCAAATCATACATCTGTTTTTAATTTTTTTTGTGCCCTAATATTTGTTTTTGAAAGCTTAAATTACCGAGTTATGTAGGATCCTGAAGGAAAGTTATAATGAAAAATCTGATGTGTCCAACACATGACTTTCCTATCTAGTTATTACAGGATTTTTCCGGTTATTTTGTACAACCTATTGCAGCACCTACATAAATGTTTAGAGGATAAACTAAATATATACATTTTCCATATACATCTACCTCGAAACATTTTTCTATAGATATTCATTGAAAACGAAAATACTGAAAAATTTAAATTTACCACTTTTCCTACAATTTTTCCATTACGGTCCATTTTAGAAAAATCATGTAAAAAAAATTATACAGATCGATATCGCAAACAACTTTTATTTCAACAATTTTCATAAAAATCAGAATTTTGCACATTTTGTCAAATTTCTCGAATACGGACCATTTCAGGAAAATTTTGACATAAAGCAAAAATTATAGATAATAATATTAGAAGTAACTTTTATTTGAACAATTTTTTTTCTCCAAACATAAATAACAGATATATTCCATAAAATATAAAAACGGCCTCCTATAAAGTACCCCCCCAGATGTTCCGACTTTGTCCAAAATCTAATCACTTCACGTCAGGCCGAAATAAAACTTAAGTTTTAAATTTAATGTTTTTTCCTTTATCCATTTTTCGAAATTCGAAATTTACACATTTTCTTAAGTATCTCGAATACGGTCCATTTTAGAGAAATTACGTATAGGATAAAAATTATAGAGAATTATATTGCAAACAACTTTTGTTTAAACAATTTTTATAAAAAAATATTTTTTTACATTTTGTCAAATTTCTCGAATACGGATCATTTTAGAAAAATTTTGTATAGAACAAAAATTTTAGATAATAATATAAGAAGTAACTTTTATTAGAAAAATTTTCTTCACCAAACGTAAATAACAGATATATTCAATAATATATAAAAATGACCACATATAAAGTACCCACCTGATGTTCCGACTCTGCCCAAAATCTAATCTGCTCATTGGACGATGGAACAAAGCTTAAGTTTAAAATTTGGTGTTTTTCTGTGTATCAGTTCATGAGTTATGGTGTACACAGACACACACTCACACACACACGCACACGCACACGCACATACACACACGCACACGCACACACACACACACACACACACACACACACACACACACACACACACACACACACACACACACACACACACACACACACACACACACACACACACACACACACACACACACACACACACACACACACACACACACACATACATACACACACACACACACACAGAGACACACACAGACATCAACGCAAAAATAGTCAAAACGGATTCAGGGGACCTCAAAACGTAAAAATCCGTCGAAAACTCGAGGTCGAAAAAAATCATGATTCCTATACTTTCCTTATATCTGTATACAGATAGGAAAGTAAAAATACTCATAATGAATTTTTTCTATTGATCTTAAATCACTGAATATTTGTTAAAAATTTTTTTTTATTATTTTACAACTTCATTTATAATTATTCCCTCGTATTATCGACCAACTACCTATGAAGTTTTAAAATAGAAAAAATCGTTAACAAATATTCAGTGGTTTATAGTATATTACATTACGAGTGTGGAAAGTGACATTTTTCACACATGTGGGAAATATTGTCGCACGAGGCATAAGCCGAGTGCGACAATCACGCGAGTGTGAAAAATCACTTTTCACACAAGTGATGTACAATATTTTTCCTACGACCACAAAATAATTTTATCAAAAAAATGCAAAACTAGAAAATCTGGCTATAAAGGTTAGCTGGTTTTAGATTTGTTTTTTATATGCCTTATTGAATAATTTTTCAAGCGTTTTACATTACAGATAGTATTTTGTCAAAATTAAAAATATTTTGATTCCATTTACAAACAATTTCATAGGATCATAAAGATAAAATAACATTAGTTACAATTGTTTTAAACAAATAAGTTGAACAATCGTGAACCAAAACTTTTTTATTATTAATGGTTACTCACTTCTTTACTCACATTTTTTTTTCTGAGCAGTAAATAAAATAGTACAAGATATTGTAGGGGTTATAATACGATAATTTGAAAAAGTAAGACGGTAAACCATTTACGCTATCATCGCTGTGTGATTTGGCTTATCTAATTAAATATGTATGTGAACCAGAAAAAACAAAAATAATGTACCTAGTTACTTTAAAATTATTTTAATAATTTGTTAAAAAGAAATATCTAGGATCTATTTTTAAAAATTAATGTTAACAATTTAATCATCAAATCGACTTTACTATTAAAATGGACATTACATCAATCAAAATAAAAATTAGACGTCTGACTTATTTGAGAGCTTATGCGGAAAGTAGATTCATATTCACACACGTGTCGAAAGTAAATTTATCCACACGCCTGTGATATAAGGCACTTTCCATAAGACTAAACAGTGCGAAAGGTGTCACTTTCCTAAGTGGTAGTGGGAAAAATATTCCTCACTATGACCTTCCTTCAGGAGCCTAGAACTCGGCAATTAAGACTTTCATAAACAAATAGAACTAAAACAATTTTAAACGCCACTAACTTAATTTTATTGGTCACCGTATACTATAACATTACATGTACATTTTCATAAAAATATAAGAAACCGTTTAAGAGTATGAGCAAAAAATCACTTCTAAAATTTTTAATTTAACATCCTGTAAGTTTTTGACTAGCTCTTTTTTATGTAAGCAAGTTAGACTAAATCGACTTATTTTCGACCCCAGGAATTGTGGTTAAATTTACTGTACAGCTTTTTGTAACACCCTGTATCTAAAGAAATTTGTTTTTGTTTGAAAATATAGATTTGACTAAATATACCTATTTATTGTACCTAATAAGAAGCATTTTTTGAAGAAAGTATAAAAATAAAAATGAAATAAAAAGTACATCTTTTTGTTACACCCTGTATATATAACATTGCGAAATTCATGTATCGGTAAAGTCGAACGTAACCCGGACCTGATTTAAAGATCATTATTTTATAGATTTTTAAAAATTCGTTAATTTTAAATAAGGTACGGTTATCTATAATAAAAACAAACATTCAAAAAATTAAATAAATTTATAATTTATACTGTTTAATTCTTTCAGCTCCTATAGTAGTCCATCGTCATCTTACAACGACCTTGATGAAATCACAAAGAATGATGGTACTTCGGAGCATTGCAGTTTTACAGACCTACATCTTCCAACTTCAGCTTCAGAAATGGTTATTAACCTGCAAGCGGGCAACCTGACCGACCAATCGCCGCGCGGTTCCCAGTCACATGACCAGCACACAATTCGTTCAACCAGTTGGCTGAGCGTAAGCGACGTATTCAGTTTGACGGTGGATGCCAGACAGCGCGGAGCGTGTAGTGATTTCGCCGAAAGTGATGTAAACAGTTATTGTTGTGATATGCAAGTTAATGTGCCGTTGAACTCTTCCAGTGTACCTCAAACCAACGTACTGCACATCGCGGCCAGTGAAAATGGGGTGAATAATAATGCATCGACTCAAATTCATAATTCTATGTTTCAAAATATTAACGAAACTAACCTGAGTTCCGCGAACGTTGTCGGCCTACCTAATCATGCTCGATACTCGTCTGTTCCCGTGAGTACCATTCAATCAAGATCTTCCACTAATAATATCGTCCCTAAGCACTCGAGGAATATTTCAGAACCTTCGAATCAGTTCTTCAAATGTCAAAATAACAATATATTAACCCCGCAACCGGGGAGTTCTGTTCCTGTACATTACAGGCACAGCACACAAGTGGATCATTCGAATGTGCAACAAATGAATAATTTCAGAAGTCAATCAGTACCGAAATGTGTGCCAATACCCAGATATGAAAGTAGCATTACTACTGCAACAAATACAGTGCCTAGTACGCAAGTTAACAATCCTAGATTTACCCAGAAGATCAACACTAACAATGATATAAGCAATGTTAATGTCAATTTTTATAGGGCTGTACCGGTCAATGTTATCTCTTCAGTACCAACAATTCACTGTTTAAACACTTTAAGCAATGTGCAAGGAAATGAGGTCTCTAACGTTCAGGTGTTACCACTCGGTAATCCCAATGTTAATAACAGCAACTTGGTAACTTCATCTACAAATAATTCACTTGTAGTAGGTACTACTCAAGTTATACTGCATAACACTCAAGGTAATTCGATCAACAACGATAAAACGAATTTCTTAAACCTTCAAACGTCAACTGTGAACGTTAGTACTGGTTGTACTAGTACAGCTACTAATACGGTAACAAATTTATTTCCCCCTTCAGCAAATAATCAAGTGATTGTTCAAAATACGAGACCAGTCAATTTTACAACTATTCCGTTTGTAAACAATACACAACAAGCAAATACTAGTTTAAGAGCTAATATTCAAGTGGGTTCAAGTAGCCAAGTTCCTTTGATAAAACCCAACAACGAAAACCGTACTTCCACCAGGACCTTTACTAGTACTGAGGCTCAAACAGATGAGATATCCATTCTTCCTCCAACTAACGAACAAACTTCTTCAGATAGAGAACAGAGACGCAGAGAACGCCGTGAAAGACGTCATCAACGCCGTATAAACAACCGTCAATCCGTTGACACTAGCACGCAGGTTAATAATCACAATGACAGACTACCGGATATACTCAACAGTCATCTACCGCCGCCATATACCACGTTATCGAACGGTCAAAGTATGAGCCCTGTGGTCAGCCCGATGTCGCCGCTAATGACTAATTCCGCGATAGTTCCGTCTCAAATGATGCCGCCCCCGCACGGCGCTGTTTTGCAGACGGTAGTTCCTAGTAACATAGTGCCTACAAGTGGTTTCGTATTTCAGGGTCCGCCACCTGTTGGACAAGTGCCACTTGTGCAAGGGCCGGCACCTGTGGCAGTGCCCGTGCCGCCGCCCACTGGATTTAGGTTCCCGTTCCCCGCCAACGGATTTAGAAGGTTTGTTATTTGTCTTTGCATGTAAGAGGGCGGTTTGAAATATCTCAATAATCAATTTATTCTAGATTAGAAATCGATATAAATAATGTAGAGGCAGAATACAGTTGGCATACTTTTGCACACACCAAACTTTCGTCTGACCACTCTTTAATAAAAAGTTTGACATTAGCAACAAAGTACTTAAAAACTTTTAATTTCTAAGCGGAATAGGATTGTCTACATTTGCCAACCACACATTTCGTTTATATAAGTATCTCAAAAAAGGATAGATGCCTAAGAGAAAATAAAAAAAAATGATTTCTTCAGATACCTATATAAGGTGCACTCTGGAAATTAGAAGTAATATATTTTAGAATATAATTTAGCATCTTGAAATGCAATTATTTATCAAATTGTCACTCGTACTAGCATTCTGCTTTCCACATCTGTCCAACACAAATTATCATTTTCCATCTTTAAAAAAAAGACACGACCTAATTTTTAATACCGCTAACAGTTTATTAATTTCTAAGGGATAATTATCGGGGGAATAATTTTAATATATCCCAGATATCTTCTGCCTGTCGTAAGAGGCGACTAAAATAATAGGGGCATCTAGAAACAACTCTCGGAGACCTTATCAGCCAGCAGGCTTTTGACGAGCTTAGAGAGGTACACGGAGGCACAAAAGTTTTGATTAAATTGTGAACACCGCCATACTTAAACAGTTTCATTAATTTCTAAGCGCGATACTATTGTTCACGTTTCTCTAACATTTTTTCATGTCCACTAAAAGAAAATAAAAAACGAGTCTTTTTCGCAAAACAAAAACGGAAAACATAAATCTAAAATTTCAAACAACGAACTAACAATTCTTGTGTTTAATTTGAAAACACCTTTCATTCTTGATGTCAATCAAATAGGCCTAGATATTCACTTAAAATTAACTACTGGAATCTTACAGTTGCCACAGCACATTTGTTCTTTGTTGTGTACCATAATTCAATAGCTGTTGTTCTCGATTTCCTCCATTTTGTCAAAAATGTTAAAAAGTAGGTACCTTTATCATTAATCATAATATAAAAATGAAAGTCGATGTAATACGTCCCTATATAGACTAACAAACCTTCGAAATTAAATTCATTTAATTACATTAAACCGAGCATTAAACGTAAATTAATAATCATTAATAATAATAGTTAAACGACTAATTAAACAAATGTAACTAGTGTGTTAGTCCTTCTATGGTTAGTCCTCCCATCATTAATATTGAATACCTATCTATTTAAGTCGTTTTAAGTAGGTATTTAAATGGTCAACCAATTTAAAAAATGTACATTTCTTAAACACAACTGACCCAGGTAGATAATAAATTTTGGTAAAGTTTTCTACCTTCTTCAATAAAAAGGATTTCCTGGTAAAAAATAACCAGAAAAAGGTTGATTTAGTCAATACCATCGAAACATTCATTCATTCTTTCATATTTAAATAGCACAGATACTCTTGAAATAAGATTCAAGTTCAAGTGTAAAGGCATACTGGTGGTTTTGGTTTAAAAGAGCCATGTTACTTAATAAAAAAAATAAAATACTGACTATCCTTGAAGCATTGCTACACTTTTGTATGTATGTCAGGCGCTATGTTGTAGTCTGTCACTAATATTTATTATTTAAGTATCTACAACAATTTCAATTTCAAAACTTTTAGCGAAAATAATTGATTATAAGTACCCGAGTAAGTACCTATTAAGATTTTCAGAGGGATTTTCCCTTGGATTTTCCAAACATTTTGATTTCGAATCGATCTATTTTCCACGTTTTTCGTGGTCGTCAGTAATTCCGTTTGTGATATTCTCTGATCTCTTTATCTAACTTTTCATCATGTTACAATTGCTCAAAAAGTTCCCAAAGCTTGATCTATCTTTCTAATTTAATTTAATTTTTAATTTTGTTGATGTTTAAATTCTTTCTTCTTAGGATATCTGTTAGTATTATATAAATATATAAGTTTGCAATCAAAAGGTTTTTCATCTTTGGCCTAATGCTATGTGAATTATTTCCGTTTAGTTATAGTAGGGAAATAAATTTTAAAACAATTATTTAAATTAATTTAATTTTATAAATAAATATTACGTACTTATACATTTTGTGTAGGTAAATCCTCGGGTAAATCAAATGAATATATTTTTTTATTGCCAAACTATGGTCATAAATCTAAGTAGTAAAGTGTATTTTGAGTACTATATAAACATCAAATCAATGAAGTAACAGCTGGTAACCATATGCTTATTATAAGAAACAATGAAAAACAAATAGTTTTTCGTCTTAAAGCAAACCATTAAGTAGGTACTGCTATTCTAACTGAGTAAACCACTAAGATATATTTTTTATCCAGTAACTTTAACTAAATACTACAATTAAGATATTTTGATTTCATGTGAAGGAAGTAGAAGATTGGAATTAGTTAAGTAGTTATTATATTTTTGGTTTAACCGAGAGTTTAACATTTTTAAATAAGGCGAAAACAAATATTTAATTCTGAAAAAAATATATAAATACTCACTACCTATTCTAATATTTTATTCATTAAGGTATAATTTGGGAAGGCGAGACCGCGACAGGAGACAGCAGCAAACGACGGCGTAAAGCGACCGAAAACGGTCTTACGTCTTAACACATGTAATTAAATAAAACACATTTGGGAGAGCGCTACCGATGAAAAAGACGAAACACTCGACGCAACACCACTTTTAATACGAAAATATTTGCCGCCTCGCTTGCTGCAGTGGTCTGTCGTCTGCCTCGGTCTCCGTTCCCAAATGGTACCTTTTGCTTACTACTTTTAAATAAACTCATTCCCAAAACTCATTGTTTTTAATAAATACCCTAAATACCTTCTTATGTATGATTATAATTTTAGTAGGTAAACAATAGTTTATACATATTGTAATAAGCATAAAAAATATGTAGTTAATAGTTCATTACAACTAGACACAAGCTGATACATGCCACAGGTCATGTGCAATAAATGAACTCGGTAAATTATTAAAAAAAATTCACATTTTTACAGTATTTATATATTTAATTTGGAAACTTTATACAGTGAGCATCTTAAGTCTTACCCCCCTAACTAACTCGTTACTGGGGTCTTGTTAGGAAAATCGCCGAGACAGGTCGATTTTTAATTTCTACAATGTACATTTTTGCATGATTAGTTAACCCTTAATTTCATCCCTTACTGGAGGGTAAAAACCCTTTCGAAAAATTTAAATAGCATGGGGTGGTGAGTGATAGTTCATTTGAAAGGGGGTTTTATTCTCTATTCAACCGTGAAAAAAAAATTTGAAATTTGCATCATTACATGTTAATTTATTAATGTTTAAAAATAACAAAACCTCACAAAATAGGAAAGCAACTAGACTAACAGTGGCCTTATATGGCAAAAAGTCTTACTTCACGTCTGAACCAAAACCGAAGTCATGCAGGGCCGAATTTTAATTCTACGTTAATTTCCGTTATTCTGAAACAACAATTAGTCGAGAATTAATGAAGCAAATTTCAATTTTTTTACACGGTTGAATAGAGAATAAAACCCTCTTTCAAATGAGCTATCACTCACCACCCCATGCCATTTAAATTTTTCGAAAGGCTTGCTCCCCTCCAGTAAGGGATTAAATTAAGGGTAAACTATTCATGCAAAAATGTACATTGTAGAAATCAAAAATCGACCTATCTCGGCGATTTTCCTAACAAGACTCCAGTAACGAGTTAGATAGGGGGGTAAGACTTATGGTGTTCACTGTATTTGGCAAAGATCATATTTTACTGGAGAATATACTTCTTTGTGAAAAGTTTTCAACAAAATCTTATTAGAGAAAAACTCGGCGAAAAAGTGTGGTAAACTGTTAAATCACAGGAAATGATGCATCCGAGGATGCATCTATCAAAAAAAAATCAATTAAATAAGGAATATTTACCCTAACTACCTAATTTGGTTGTAAAATAATCTCCGTATAAAACACTTTCATTACAGTTTATTTGAAAATGCATGATAGCACAGTTTTTATGACAAAGGTATAGATCGAGGTCTATATACAGGATTATTCAAAACAGAAAAAAGTAAATATTGATACCTTCTTATCTGAATTTTCACTAGATTTTAGTATGACCACCCTGAAACACCTCGAATACGATACATCATAAAATGTAAATGAGTAAACCCTAAGCGAGACCCTAAGGTATTAACCAATAATAATTATATACCTCAGTGACGGGGAACAATTATTTTAATTTAAAAAAATAGTATACTAGATATTAGGTTAGGACATTTTCTTAAAATTTATTTTTAAATGTACACACAACCAAATTTACATGATATACTAAAAAAAATCTTTGCAAAAAATCTTTCGTCGTAAAACACTCATATTTCGTTTTTAGATTCCATATAAATTTGTTTGTATTTCGTTACTAGGGTCATATAAACTTATTATAATTAATATAAATATAGAGTTACATACCTAAATAAATAAGTCGTTTTCTCCCGATAAGGAGTCATCATCATCAGCAGCTTTCTCACTTCCCACAGAAATATTAATTGGTTCTATTGTTTCCTCTATTACCATATCAAGTTTCTAAAATTTCTCTTCCTCTGTCATGACATGTCTTATAGCGTTTTGTCAATTGTCCGGTGAAATTTTTGTAATGGAGTCACATAATAGTTTACGAACATCTAGAGCTTTAAATATTGTATTATTTCTCACGACATATCCCTTTATTTGAGCCCAGATTAGTTCAATGGGGTTAAGTTCACAGAGACAAGGTGGTAACCACAATACTTTAACTCCATCTTCTTTTGCTATTTCATCTACACTATAAGTATTTCTTAAACTTTGATGAATGTTGTTTACATTACTGCAATAGCTCTTTTTGAGTAATCCCTCTTCTGTCATTATTTTTTTGGTAATTAGGCAATCGAAGAGTTTTTTCCATTTAGAGGTAGGTAACGCTTCTTTTATTCTTGAA